TCACTCTATATGCAATATGAATGCCATCACCTTGCTGGCTGGAGTGTCAGAGATCACTGTCTGCATGCAGGCTTTATCACACGTGCTTTGTGGATTTCTATCAAAGGGTAGACTATGGCTGTGCTGGAAAACTGTCATTGATGTTTGAATACAAAATTTCCCTTTGGAACTCATTCTGAGAAGAATGAGTTCCAATTTCCCATGGAGCATGGCAAGCAACTCCCCACTCTCTGCAATATTCATTGGATTTCTTCTGGCTTTTCCTTAAAGAGACTCAAAAAAGAAGATAAAACAATCGCCCTTCCCAAAAGAGAAGCCCAGTGTGATGATCGCCATGTGGGTGGATGTGTTTGCGGGTCCAGGATAGACTGATCTTGCATCTCCACCCTTGGCTCCTTCTCCCTTTGCTCTTGCAGATGCTCCAAGCACAACGCACAGTTGTGATTGAGGGCAGGAACTGTTTGGCTGCCAGTAGTCATCTGCTGAGTGCCGGCCACGTCGTTTTCAGTTTCCCAAAACCACACGTGGCTGCGGAGTTAAAACAACTCGGTGCTGTGGCTGCCGTTGGCCAGGATGAGCATCGTGTGCAAGAGTAGTGAAGAGTGCTGATGGCAGTCATGCCTGTAACGTTAGTCATGCCAGGAAGTTGACATCTTTTATTCAGGAAGATGCTTGAGAATCCCTGAAATCTATGGTGTCATTAACTTTTCCAAACTGACATGTTCATGTCGGGCAGGTTACTGTAAGTACTTAATAAGCCCCGGAGCACAACAAAGTAGCAGCTCTTTTTGCTGGTAAATTTTTTGGCTTGGCATTTATTTGTCGTTTCAGTGTGATTTGGGAGCTCCTTGCATGCAGAACAGCCGCTCGTCTGCAGGGGACTGACGGGCTTTACGCAGGGCAGGGCTTTCCAGTTACGATGCTCAAACTGTGCCGCATCTGTACCAGCAACCCCCCCCATCAAAGCATCGCTCACAGCAGTTACCAGTTTGTGGGTGGTGCTGACTGCATCCTTCTGAATGGGTAACAAAATAACTTAGGTAGTAATTAGGCCGTAGCAAACACTTGGGAGATACCTGGGGAATGGCCATCCTGAAATTTCATCCTGAGATCCTGCTTGGCACTGCCAGTCCTCTCCCACCGGCAGCACTGACTTCCTCAGGTCTAGAACTGATCCTGTACAGAATAAGGGAAAAATCACCCTTGAGGCAGCTGCTGAATGTTACCTGCATGCTTCTTGTCTTGGGAGTGCAGCTGTAGGCAGGTGCAGAGACATTCAGCATCTTCAGCCTCCCTCAAGTCTGCTTGGTAGCAGAGCCGTCAGCCAAGCTTCGCCTAACTGGTGGCAGCATTTTAGGTTTCCCACGTAGCAGCCAGTGCATGTCTCAGCCATCAGCTGTATATTCCTAGCTTTTGAGCCACTGTGGTCTCCTGGGAATTTGGAAATGGTAAGATACCCAGTTTGCTGGGGCCGTGCTGACCAAGACTGAGCATGGTGGCCACTGAATGGGATGAGGCTTGGAGCAACCTGGTCTAGTGGAAGGTGTCCCTGCCCATGGCAGGGGGGTTGGAACTAGATGTGCTTTAATGTCCCTTCCAACCCAAACCATTCTGTGATTCTGTGATTTATGAGCTCCTTGTTTTGCCCTTGGAGCAGCGTCGGCCGCAGTGGGAGCGGGTTGCGGCATCACCTGGCTGCTGTCCCCGACCTGTATGCCGTGTCAAGAGAGGGTATTGCTGGCTGGCAGGTATCTCGGTGTGTCTGAGGAGAATCCTGCATTGCCTACGAGCTGACGGCGGCACAGAAGCAGCATGGGATGGCTGCTCACAGTGCCAGGTGCTTGCTGGGGAGTAGCAGAGGATGAAGTGAAAGCTGTCTGTGTGGCCATCAGTCAGCATGACGGGGTTCTCAGTCAGGCATCTTTGCCAATGTAAAAGCCACACGTGGACAAGCCCTAACTTAAACTTACAGTTGTGTGTCGAGGTCCTTAAGGAATGACAACCTGACATACTCTGGTACAGGCTGAAGTAGTGTGACTGTGTGCTGGGAGTGGCTGTGGGGTTTCCATGGGAGATAGCTTTGGGAAAGCATTACAGGTCGGAGGACAGTCCTGGTTATTAGTTGTTTATTTATGGACATTCCTCCCATGCTGTTGTAGGTGAGCAGGATTAAGGGTGTTCTAAAGCAACAGATGTCAGTCTTTTCATTTCCTGGCTATTAGACAGAACTACAGCTCCAGTGAACACAGAGTTCTGTCTTCCTTTATCCTCGTTTGTGCACTCTCTTGTGTTTTTCTTCCCCATGTTTGACATGTTGCAATGTTCCAGGGTGAATTAGAGGGCTGTCTTTGTTAGGAAAACAAAGTTTTTGGGGCAGGCAGTAGCATCTGTGTATTCTGCTATCGTGGGTGGCCTTTGGTTTGCAGGAGTCCTTAAAACAGGAAGAGAACCGACTGTGGATATGGTTTCCCACTGCTGTAGGGGCTGTGAGTACTTGCCTTGCTGTGCAGCTTTCATTTTTTTACATCTGCAACTCCTAAGAACAAATTATACCTCCAAACAGCATAGGTGGAAATAGAAATTCAGTATTTTTGCAGTAGAAAGGTTATGTTAACTTTTGAGTGGGCCTGATGGCTTGAAAATTAATGTGCAGGAAGGGTAATTGGTTTTTCGATGTATGATATTTAAAGTATGTGTTTTGATTGCAGTGCAGAGCTAATACAAATGGATGCTACATTAATTCTGTTCATGGAATGCTTCTCTCTGTGTATTTATTAAGTGATAATTGCCCCTGCTTATACAGAATGAGCGTTTGGCATGTGACTACATGTTAGGCTGAGACACTCAGTTATGCCCTTAATGGTTTCAGGCTTCAGATGCCTGTGTGTTGGTAAGAACTTGTACTGGTTTTCATCGATTCTTGTTTACGCTTAGAAATAATAACTGTGTTGAAGCTTAACTTGTCTTCTGAGTCTGGGTCTCTGTACACTGGGTTTAACACGAACCAAAGTTCTCGGTGGCCAGAGCATCTCTTGCCGTGTGGGGACTGTCCCGAGCGTGTTACGTGCGGTACACGCGTTCCTCTCGGGGCAGCGTGCTGTCGGAGCTGCCGGGCAAGCCCAGCAGCCTGCTCTGTCTCTGAGAGTAGCTCCAAACGGTGTGGGAGGAGGCTGGGCAAGGCACCTCCGAAATGGGACGTCAGCACTGGGTGAGACAATAGTAGGGCATGGAGGACACACTGATGCTGCTTTAGTATGGTGATTTTCAGGGTTTGAGAGAATCAGCATTTGATATCACAGATACCTGTGACAAGCCTTGTGCCCCACGTGTCTCTGCCATGGCTCTGGTCGCCCTGTCCTTCCATCAGGGTGTTCCTTGTCGTCTGTTCCTGTTCCATCATTGGAGAGCTAGCTGCCAGCCTGCATGCGGTTCACACTACAGCACTGTGTGCATCGGTCACACGAAGAACGGTTTATCGTCTCATGAATCTGTAGGTTTTCATTTAAACGTTACGATCCGCTGAGCCTGCAGGTTGGGGTTTGTTGGTAAGCTCCCCATTGTGAGGTTTGAAAGGCGTGTGTCCGCCGCAGTGACAGCAGTGACTTTGACAAGCCAAATGCAGCTAGATGTTTGAAAGGATTAAAGATGCCACTAAAGCTACAGACACTGCAACTGCACCAAACAGCTAAACCTTCCAATTCAAGTCCATCGACCCAAAAGTCTTAGCACAGCTTACCAAAAAAACCCCACAAACCCTCCCAGCCCACCCCCCCGAAAACCATACAGAACAGTATGTTTGTATATCATATCCAATAACCTTTGGGGCTCCTACAAGCCCCCTTCCCTTGGGAAGCTGGAGTTACACAGTGGCGATAACGTACTGAGGCGAGAGACACGAAGTGGTTGTGTAGCTGAAAGATGTTTCATTCACAGATGTTTATAAAATCGAGCAGTTGCTGAATGCTATCAGTGGTGGACCTGATTTTTAAGACCTAAAAGAAACATAGTTTAGGAGCCTCCATTTACCATGTGAAAGCAGAAGTGCAGAGGAGGCAATTTGTATGCTGTTTACCAGTAAGTGATGACACATGGTATATGCTCTAGAAACTGAATGCCCAGATGAGTTCAGATTTCTTTGTAAACTCCCAAGGGAAAGTTTATAGCAGTGTGTTTCTGGAATACTGCTGCATGGGTGGTCTTAGAAGGCTCCAAAACGGTGCATTTTGCACCGGACTGCTAGGATTTTAGGTAAGTGTATGTATATCATTACTTGGCTTGCAAAAAACCAACCCCAAACAAGTGATGATGTGTCTCAGATCCAGTTGTTTTCCCAAGTTAGTTACTGGAAGCCAGTATTTGATTTTTCTTACGTTACTGACGTTTACTCACTGTGTGATGATTTAGCCTTGTGATGCTGGAAATGCAGTTGAGAACTGGCCTGTGTTAAATCAGTGGCTCCACCGTCCTTGTCACTTATTTAATCCTGTTAGATTTGTAGCTGTAAATCTGTAGCGAGATTTAGAATAAAACTGAAGAATAGCCACCTATGATCTTGCTGATGATTTTATTTAAATAACTCATGAGATGTAATTCGAGCTTCTGTTTGCTGTTCCGATGCATGAAAAAGCAAAGCCGGTGTGTTACGGCTTACGTGGAATAGAGACGGCCTGTTACAGCAAACTTGATCATAGTCTCATGCAGAACCGGGATGTAAATTTTGTCTTGTTTTTGCTGTAATCTTTTAACTCAAAGAAATTCCAGTCATAATGGTCCTGCTCTTTATTTGTTCCTCCTCACAGACGGCATACCGTGCTGGACGGGGCGTGTGGATTTTGTGTGTGCCTGTATGTTAGAGGGAAGATCGGAACTCACTAACACCCCGTCAGAAATGAGTTACTGTTGGGAAATTTAAAAAGGCATTTTGTGCTTTGTTCTCGCCTTAGCTGACAGGTTGTTTCCCACGGCGTTTCTGATGGGTTTCTCTTCCACTTTCAGTTACTATGTGGGCAAGCTGCTGTAACTGGTTTTGTCTGGATGGCTCACCCGAGGAGATGCAGCCGCAGCCGGCAGCCAGCGCCCAAGCCTACTCCAACCCCGGGTACAGCTCCTACCCCTCTCCCACAGCCGCTGAACAGAGCTGCAAGGCCTGCGGGGTGCCCTTCGACAGCTCCTCCGGGAAGGTGAGTCGCACATGTCTTCCCTGGCGCCGCGGGCCTGGGGGGCTCCCTCTGACTGCGGTACACCGCCCGACTGCTGTTTAATTACAGAGAGCCAGGTGGGAGAGAAACGGGTGCACGCAAGAGGCCTCTGGTTTGAGGACATACCATATGGGAAAAGACAGCTTGCCTCTGCTTCCGTGCCTTCAGTCGTTCTTCCGCAATTAGCAGGCGTAGCTAATGATGACTGGAAATGGGGTAGTTAACCTTCAGTAGAGTTGGCTTTCTGGGGCGCTGAAAGAAGAAAGCCAAACTGCTTGTAATCACGGAAAGGAGCGTTAACTTGAACAGGAGTCTTTAAATTTGTTATTTAAAACCACTAATGTCCTCCAAAAAAAAAAAGAAAAGTTGTGGCAAGAAGTTTAGTAATCTGCTTGTGCTTTCAGTAAAGGTCTACACCTCCCTCTTCCAAACCCTGCTGCTCAAACTGAAACCCATGTAAGTTTACCGAGGGGGTGTGTCGAGTAGCTGAAGCTCGGTGCCAAGAAAAAAACCACCAGAGCCATTTTAGCTTGTTTGTGAAGCTCATCTCTGAGCACAATGGTGCCAAAGAAGTGTTGCCATGAGATTTTTTGTCAGGCAGCAAACCTCGTCTAGGATGTGATTTGGGCATGGTGGTTCCTATAATGCTGCTTGAATAATGTTTTAGTGGGGAGAGTCGTTCAGAGTCCAAACTCTGTCACTTAAGAACTTACAGTGTGTTACTGAACTAAATAATGTGGGAACTTAAAAATGACAGTGGATTTTGGCCCTTTGGGATTAGTTCAGGGATTTACCTTACAACAACATCTGAAACCGGCCGTTCTGAAGAGCGGCCACCCAGTCCCACCCCCTGCCATGGGCCGGGACACCTTCCATAGCCCAGGTTGCTCCACGCCTCATCCAGCCTGGCCTTGGACACTTCCAGGGCTGGGGCATCCACAGCTTCTCTGGGCAACCTGTCCCAGTGCCTCCCCACCCTCTCCGGCAAGAATTTCTTCCTGATACCCAATCTAAACCTCCCCACTTTCAGTTTAAACCCGTTCCCCCTTGTCCTGTCACTACAGGCCCTTGTAAAAAGTCCCCCCCAGCTTCCTATCAGAGTAGGGGGTTTCTGCCTTGGAAGGCCCCTGGCCCAGCGGCAGTTGCCTTTGGAGCCAGTGTGGCAGCCTGCAGAGCATGGGGGGGCTTCCCACTGCCAGAGTAAAGCAGGGTTAGTTTCTGCATGACGTCTTTTCCCCCCAGCTCTCCTGACTGTTCCCCAGTCAGAGAGGGGTGATTGAGAGGGGGAAAGGGTTGCCCATGGGGTTGTTTTCCATTACTCTGCCTTTGTGGAGTATTTGTTCCCCTGCTCTAGACACGTATACTAGTCAGTAATTCCTGTCTCTGCCCTGAAAATTTCCCAAGAAACTGGATTGTTTTTGCAATCGTAGGGTCAAGAAAAGTCAGTAACTGATGTTTTTTGTAATGATCAACTTAAGGAAAGCTTCTCCAACTGGATGGTATGTGGAAATTGCCCTTCCTGTCTTGCCTCGTGAGTGATGAAAGTCGCTTTTACTTGGCAGGCCCCCAAATGGCAATTTTGGGATGAGGTTTCACGTTTGCATGACCAGAGATTCTCTCTGCAGTAGAAATTTTTGTGTCTTAAAATGCTTCGGCAGGAAATTGGCATTCTTTCCACTAACTGTCATAATAAGTCTGTTACAGACTCTAAATGAGAAGCCTGTTGCTGTAACTGAAGGGGGTGTGTGGGGCAAGGGGGCTGCCGGGCTGTAAAGGGGGGCAGAAGGAGCGTTTGCAGGCCAGCAGTGCGTTTACACCTTTCAAAACACGAGAAACAGCCACTCTCTTTGAACTGGGAAGTTAAAAATGTTCTTTAATCACTAAAAACAACTCATAAACCAACTTTTTTGTCTGAGTTTGTATTTGTTCCTCCTCCAACTCTGTATGTGTATTTTTCCTTGCATAGCTCTGAAAGGTCAGGATGTCATGATTTCATGGAGATCCTTGTCTTTTCCAAGGTCGTGAATTAGCATTTTTAACCAGCACTGAAGCCAGTTCCTTCTTCCCTTGGGACTTTTTTAAAGGTGCCTAATGCGGCCGTTCTGCTGCCATTCCTATTGGAAAATGTAGAATTTGACTTTCCAGTGTTGAACAGCCAAGTTTCTGCAGAAGTCTTGGACTGTGAGTGCTTGGAACTCCTGAAATTCGAGCCCCGAGTGATGAGACCAGAACACTATAAAATAGAAACAGCAAACAATCATCTGCACCATCCTGGGGCCTGATATTTCCAAAACCTCCAACACTTTCTGCCCAGCACCTGACTGGCACACAGTGTGTGTATTATTTTTAAAATAAGCTGGCTATTTTTGTTCCTCAATAAATGTTGAATTCTTTAGTGTCTGGCAGGCACTGTAAGCCTTGCTGTTTCCCTTTCCTCTTACGGAAAGATTGATTTAGTGATTGGAAGGGGAAAAAAAGGGGGGGGAGGGAGGTCACTCACAGCAATTATTAAATTTATGAACTAGAGAAATGTTTTTAAGTGTTTGCTCCAATGCTGGAGCTTTCTTAATGCCCAGGGCAATGTTTCATTGTTCTATAAAGCACTGCACAACTCGCTGTAACCCACTTGAAAGTGATGCCTCAGAGATGTCCCGATTTCATCGGTGGCTTAAGCTGGGTGCACGAGCCCAGAATAAGGTGCAGAAAACTCCCGTTATTTGGGGAGTCCTCTAAAAATACGTTTCATTCCGGGTAAATGGTGTGTAACAGTTGTGAGGAATCGAGTGACCTGCCCGTGGGATCAATCCTGTCCCTCATCCAGCAAGGCGAGTCACGTAGGTGGTGCCTTTTCGTGAATGAGGAGGTTTTGCTGGCGCTGCGGCAGCGGCGTCGCGGCGCCTGCCCCGGGTCACCGTGCGTCGGTTTGATTCTGTCCCTTCTCTTCACCAGCGCGTCTGCCTGGACTGCAAGAAGAATTTTTGTACGTCCTGCTCCAACGAGCCCGAAGGCGGCCCCCTTCTCTGCCATCTCTGCCAGCGCTTCCGAGCCACGGCTTTTCAGCGGGAGGAGTTGATAAAGATGAAGGTGAAGGATCTGCGAGACTACCTGGCGCTCCGTGAGATTTCCACCGAGTTGTGTCGCGAGAAGGAGGACCTGGTGTTTCTGATCCTTGGCCAGCAGCCTGTAATTACCCAGGAAGATCAGATAAGAACAAATCAATTTAATACAAGTGCCTCTGGACAGCAAGACTCTGTCATTCTCCCAACAACCAGCGTAGCGTCTTCTACCTCACCTGATGCCTCCCCGGTGTCTGCAGGTCCCATCTCGAGTTCACTAGCTCAGGAACACCAACAGGTACAGTCTCCAGCCAGAAGCATCCTTTGCAAACTCATTCATCTCTGGGTTTGGCTTCACTACTAAGACGTTACGTGAGGTTTTCCAAGGAGATGATGTGCCAAACAAGTTTTACAATAATGATGCCTCCTTAAAAAGCAAGGGGGGGCTTCTACTTAGAACAGGTGACAAAATACTTCAGTTGCATCTTTTATACAAGCTCTTCTCAGGCTTGTTTTTAATTCTGAAGTGAGGACCAAACACTTGCTTACAGAGCAATTAGGAAAGTAAGATGAGTGATGTACACTGCCTTGCTGTGTGACTCGCTGTCACCAGCTTTGCTGTGCTATTCCCTCTTCACACGACTGGAATTTAACTTGGTGGGCAGTGCTGAGTATACTGAACATTCCCTCTGGGAACAACATCCCTGTTTTGAGATGTTTTCTCTGGTGCTCTGCTCCACACTTGCCACTCCTGACTGGTGCGTTCGGTACTGGATGTCTGTGTTGGTGCATGGATCTCTCTGTGTGGTGATGCTGACAGCTGTATGGAGGCGTTAGATGAAAGGGGTACTGTTGCTCTTCAATTCGTGTGCAAGACAGCAAACAGCTTAAAGCAGTTTGGGGACTGAAACTGCTCAGAAAGGTGATTGTGGGATGGGTGAGGCGTTTGGTGTCGGCTGCACCTCAGATCAGCAGGAGACACAGCCCAAGTCGTCGGTTTACGATGAACCCTGCAGTTCTGACAAACCTCGTCAAGGGCATTTGAGCTTAATTATTTTTATTGACTTTCCTTTGTTGATCTTTCTGCTGTCTGGCATGGGAAGTTTACTCAGTGTTTGACATCTGCTCCTAGTCCTGTTACGATGTTAACTGGTGCATTCGGTTCCCTGTGGACCAGAGCTGTGGAAGGGTATGTGCCTCCCGCTTCCTCAGCAGATGCAGCTTGTACAAAAGAAGGGTTCTCCTGGGTGGATGCTTTTTTGCAAATCATTAAAAGGCCTTTTCATTCTCTGGTTTTCTGGATAGCACCAGAATATTCCAATTTTTACCAGCAAATTCGCCTCTGCTGTCTTCCCCTACAGCTCCATGATACGTTTCAGCTTGTCTCTCCTTGCAGCACATCCTGCTACAGTTCAGGCTCGTTCACCATCATTGTTTTTCTTTCGCTTGTTAATATTAAGTCCCTTAGATAAGTAGGGTGGTATCATTGCAGTCTCCTCTGTCAGCAGGGAAACCACAGAGGAGAGTGATAGCTGCTGGGGGCGAGTTGGCTGGAATTACACTGCAGCCCCTTCTCGTTCTCCAGCTCTGCTGCTGGTCCTTCACTTGGTATCTCCTATTTGCCCAGTCCAGAGCCCACCCGAGGAGGTGTTTCTGTACGGTGGCATGGAAGATGGGCTGTTACAGGGGAGCCTTATGCAGAGTCTGGCACTGAGAGCTGATGTGCCATCAGAGCTGTGACACGCACCGTGTCACACCGCAGCGCGTCACTGAAGGGTTGCGTGTGTGCGTAAATTAGGCCTCCTCCTCCTCCAGCCTCGCAAGAGTGTCGTGTGGGATCTGACTGTACAAGTACTCTGTCAGGGCTTAGGTAAAGCAGGGCTGTAGAGGGTCACACGCTGCGCTTCAGTGTGTTAAAGTTTGGGTGGCTGTGCAAGTGCCGCACAGGAAACGCCTCCCGCCTGCGAGCCTCGCTTTCCTCGTCTGCCGCAGTTTGTCCTGCCAGCGGGCAGGGCCTGCAGCTATGCTGAACTGCCGAGCTCGTTTCCCTTCGGGCACAGAGATCTGCTGGTGGTGAAAGCTTTCTTTCCTCTTGTAGGTAAATGGTTATGTGTCTCCAAGCCACATCGGTATGACGGGAGTCGAGAATGCAGCAGAAGCACCAGCAGAGGAGGAGACGCAGGTTTGTGTGTGTCCTGGAATTGGGTAACGAGGAACACCAGGATTGCTAGGCTGTATGGGCTCCCACAGCCATTACTGCCAAGAGATGGGGGGCTAAACAGTACTTAAGACTGCCCACTGGCAGACCCAACCACCCCCTTTCCTGGGCATCATCTTGTCCTCCACAGAGAGAGAGAACTGGTGTTGCTGGGACACTGTGATGATAGAAATGATTTATTTCCATCCTAGGGCGCTTGTTCCTGATCGATGGAGGAATTCAGTCAGTTACGCGTACGTCCGCACGTGAACTCGTGCCAGCACGTGTGCTGAAAGTTGACTTTAAACTGTAGTGTTAGATGTTGAGGGCAAGAGTCATTCCCTCTTCCTTCCCTTGCAGTCTACTGACTCAGAAGACACCCTGGTGCAGGGGAGGAAGGCTTCCCTTTCCGATCTGACAAGCATCGGGGACATCAACGCGCTTTCTGTGCGACAGCTGAAGGAAATTCTGGCTCGCAACTTCGTCAACTACAAAGGCTGCTGTGAAAAGTGGGAGCTGCTGGAGAGGGTGACTCGCCTGTATAAGGAGAAAGACCTGCAGTATCTAGGTAAGAAACTCAGCGAGCATGTGCCAGTCTCCCAGCTTTCTCCTTTGCAGGGACAGTTGGAGAAGGAAGTAGAACTGCTCTTACGTTTGTTTGGTGCAAGTGAGGAGGAAAGGGGGTGTTACGCACCCCAGAGCAAAAGCAGCTGACCTGTCCATGCTGGCGCTTGTGGGGGAGCGTTCCCGTGGCTCTGGAGCGAGTTCCCCGTAACAGCAGCCATTGAGAGCCGTGCACCCTTCACCCCGGGGTCGCGTGTAACTGTGGCAGCTGCGCTGGTCACTGCACCCATCACCCACGCAACGGCCGACGTGCAGCCGTCGAGGAGGCTCTGGGTGCCGGGCTGAGCTCTTGCGCACTCACTCGGTAACGGGCAGAGCGAGCAGAACGCCCCAGGCAGCAGCCAGGTGCTCGGCAACCGTGGCTCCCGCTGCTGTACAGCTGTGGTTATCTGTGGTTCGATTTCCTCCTCTTGATCCCAAGAGCGTTCCCCCCGGACACTACCAGCTGCCGCTGACAGACAGGGGGCTGGAGGTGCACGGAGAGTGTCTGCTTTGCCTGTCGGGTGCCGGTTGGCAATTCTGGGTGTTCGGTTAGACACGTATCTGTGAATTATTTGCAAGAGAACCGTAGTTTCCCACTTGGATTTCACAGCTAGCTTGGTTCCTCAGCGTCGTCCAGAGCAGGGCTGTGTGCTGAAACACTGTCCTCTACGAGTGTAAAAGATTTAAAACAACCGCTTTGGGTTTATGCTCTTCTTTCATTGTATCTTGTGCTTTTAACAGGATTTTGTCTCCTCTTTATCACTGTTGCCTGTGTCTTAGCTCTGCTCAGCAGCATCAGTGAGCAGCTGGCACAAGGTGCGACTGGAAGTGTGGCCAAACACTGCATAAACAAATTCCAAGGCTGTCTTACAGCTCGAGCCACCGCTTCAGACAGTGGCTGCGTGTTGCGAAGCGTTAGCTGCTGCGTCAGCTCGCTAAAAGAGGAGGTGTCTTGCCTGAACCTTTCCCTGATCATATTCATCTTGAACCTCTGCGTGGGGACCAGCAACAAGCAGTTTTGGTTTAGTAATCTCCCTGCAAGGCTTTCGGCTCCTGCTGAGTAATACTGCCTGAGCTAAGGGGGGTTTTCCAGCTTCTCTGAGTCCCACCAAATAACTTTCTCTTCTTGCGTTGCAGTTTCTGACACTGATGATCAGACTGGTAAGTGATGTTCTTAATCACCGAATCATTGAGGTTAGAAAAGTCCCCTAAAATAATCCGTTAATCCAGCACTGCCAAGCCCACCACTAAACCCTGTCCCCAGGCACCTCATCCACACGTCTCTTAAATCCCTCCCGGGATGGTGACTCCAGGCGGCCCGTGCCCGTCCCTGACAGCCCCTTCAGTGAAGGCATCTGTCCTAATATCCAACCTAAACCTCCCCTGGCGCGACGTGAGGCTGTCTCCTCTCATCCTCTCGCTTCTTACTTGGGAGAGGAGACCCAGGTCGCTTCATTGGCCTCACTGCTAAGAATCGCAGTGGTCTTTCAGTTTTCATCACACGGAAACGGCTGTGTAAAGGCTAAACCCTTCTCCCTGCCAGCCGAGAGGGCAGCCGTACCCCCGTCAGGGTGGGCGCACGGGCACTTTCGGTGCGCAGAAGCCCACTGGGGAAGCCCTTTGATCCAGCTGACTCACGGACTGCCCCAGACCGTCGCGCCTTCCCTTGCCTCCCCCGACCGCGGGCTCTCGTTTACGCAGGCGGCGCTGGGCTCCCTGGCGCGGAGGACAACCTCTGCAAAATCTGCATGGACGCGCCCATCGACTGCGTCCTGCTGGAGTGCGGCCACATGGTCACTTGCACCAAGTGCGGGAAGCGGATGAGCGAGTGTCCCATCTGCAGGCAGTACGTCATCAGGGCTGTCCACGTCTTCAGGTCCTAAGTGTGTGTCGGGAAAGCTGCTGGTGCCTTAAAGCCTCCTCAGCCGTGAAGAGAAACGGCCAAACTGCTACCGAGAGCTGGGGCAGAGACTGGCGTACGGACCCCACGGGGAGCTGGAAGCGAGGGGAGGATGAAGCCTGGGAAAAGTGCCCTCCCTGCAGGTGTGCCTGGCTGTGCTCTCCCACTAGTGCTTTACACCACCGTGCCTGGCCTCCCTGGGGCTCACTGCCAGCAGCACACAGCGCTCGTTAACCACCCGCATCCCAGAATAACTCGACCCACGGGCGCTGGGATGCATGGCTCCACCACGGAGATCACTTCCAGAGGCTTTGTATTTCCCCTGGAATAAGAAACAGAAGCGGAGCAGGGGTCTCAGGGGTGATGTCTGTTTTGCTGCTTGGGCTGTACACCCAGCACCAACCTTACGTTCAGAGATTAAAATGTTACCGTGCTGTTTGCTGTCGGTTTGTGTTCAACGGCGCGTGCGGGGTGGGCGGCCAGCCTCGGCTTGCCACGCTCAGTGCAATTCCAGCCTAGTGCGATTGCGGGAAAACGGCTCACTTCATTAGACGGACTCTGTAACGGGCAAGCGCAAGTGGGAAACACGCAGCCGGATGGGGTGTGTGTGCAGCGAGGGGGAGATGCCTGCTCTGCCTGGGGCTGATGCCTGGGGCTCCCTGGCAGTGCCTGCCAGCGGGTGTGTTGGAGCTGAACTGCCCTCGCTTGAGGAAGGAGCCATGAAGCTAAGGCCGGGGGGTTCAGGGAGGAACACATGCAGCTGAAGAGCGGCATGGAGCACGGTGCCTGACAAGCAGGTGACCTGGGAGGGGAGACGTGAAGGAGAGCAAACTGTCTCCCCTGAATCAGCAAGATGAGGCAGCATCGCCGCAGATGCTGCTGTTCAGTAAAGAGCTTCCCCCGATCCTGGGTTCTTCGTCTTCTCTCCTTCAGGCTGCTTAGCAGAAGTGACGTATGACTTGCTGCCTGTGAGGGCGGATGGGGGATCCTGTGCTCTGACACGAGAGCGACAAGCCCCTGCTGTGGCAAACCCGCTGGCGCGGTCACCCCTCCGCAGCCTGCAGGTCCTCGGGCCCCGTGGCTGGGGACAGCTGAGTTTCAGCATCCTTGTGCCTTAAGTTGTCAGCCACTGTGGGATCGCGCGCTCGTTTGCGGAGCAGAGTCCCTGCTGCTGGGGGGTTTTTC